CATTACATGGTATTTAGTAAATTATATATTGTTTTCATTAATTGGATCTATCAGGTCCTTAGGTTGACAAAATTGATCTCTTAGTGGGTTGGTTAGTTTAAATGCCACTCTAATTTCAGACTTATTAGGAATCCTAGGTAAAACCGTCTGTTTCTTCTTTATATGTCAGTGATTTTGAATTACCCATTATTTATGCTGTTTTTATTATTAATGCTTTTATTTTTCTAATGCATCTTTATAAATTTTTGGATAAGTTCTGGTGGGTAGTTGATATGATTGATTATGGGTAGTAAAAATGTTCTCGAAAAGTCATCCAAATACCACTAATGCGTTATATCAAATAAACGTATCTAATATGGAACTATATTCTACTACATATGAACTCTGATCAAGATTTGATCGAATAGTTCCAAAATAATCGGAAGCCGAGTGAGAAGTAGATGTATATAAAAATCATATTTGCAAAGTCTCAGCGAAACTGAAATGAGTAATTCCAACGTTTCATTCAGCAAACTGATCTAAGCTTCTTCAGGGAAATTAATCGGAATTAAAGTGACATAGGTGTGTATGTGTGTGTATAAAGGATATCCCTTGTCTTCAAAAAAACTTTGTTCAATCATATGAGTCATGAAACAGGCATCAAAATATAATAAACAAAACTGCATGAACTGGTAAGGATAAAATAGAAGAAGACAATCAATAGAATTGTATGTACCAGATCAAGTGCGGGGATTGTAAAGCCGTGTTTGTAGGAGAACCTTTCAGACAGGTAAATATAAGAGTGAAGGAGCACAGATAATGTCTTAAGCTGGTTCCAAAGACCTCTACAGGTTTGAAGAAGCTAGAAAATAGATTGGCGATTTCAATGCACTCAGTAGAAACGGGACACAAGATCGACTTTGATAGGATTAAGGTTCTACAGAAACGTTTCGGTTCGTATAAAGAATGACTGCAGTATCCCTACATATATGGGTGAGCAGCAGAAGTTTGAACAGACGTGAAGGAATGACGTTAGAGGTCGATCTATGTCGTGAATTGGCATAAGTTGGAATTCATAGACTGACCACTGGATCGGGTCCCAGTGGCTTAGTGGTCTACGAGCTAGCTCGCATTGTAACCAGAAGTTCGTGGGTTCAAACACTGGCGGTAGGTGAGTACTGGTGAATAAAAGTCCAAAACTAGGCTGAGGAAACAGCTGTCCAGTACTTCCAGTTGGCTTTCCATTGGTTCTTTGACCGATGTCAGCTCATGATGAAATCCTGTAACCAATCAAACAAATACCTACAGAACCGATACTTGAATAAAATGAACGCATCGCAACTGTATATCCTAATGATGTCTATTACTTTTAATATAATTCTAATTTATTAGATAAAATACTTGTACTATTAATCAAATTAACCGTATCAAAATTGAGCATCTGACAGAATCAGAACTGCACTACCTAAATGAAATGTTTTAGAAAAGCAAGGCTGACAATGAATTCTTTCATCTGCTAAACGGCAGTTGTGGAGCAAATTGACAGCGATGACATAGAAATGAGAGACAATGAAGGCGTGTGTCCAACGCGGGAGGCAAGAAAGGAACAACAGTAATAACAATATTCTGCTCCGGAATTTAAACGTTTTATATGATGATGCTACATGTCAAGTGGTTCGCAACAGAAAGTAGGAATAAAACAAGACTGCACAACATCATCGATAATATTCCTGACTGTGATGGACTCGGTCATTCAGCAGACCCTGGAAAGAGAGAGAGAGGATAGGCATATGTTGGAACGGCTAAATAACTCTAGAAGATATGGACTCCATAAATAGGCGAAAACCAACAAAACTAACGGATGACGATTCACAAATAGGTAGAAATGCGAATGCAGGATTCTACTGCTAGTCACCATCCACCAATTAACTACTAACAGAAGAGGTTGGTAACGAATACAGGACTTCAAATTAACGCAGAGAAGACAGAGGTGACAAAGATAAGCAGGCAAAAATAATAATAAGCACTAATCACTGTCAACAGGCTATACATCAAAGATGACACTTCCTTTACTTATCTAGACAGCTTCGTTCTAACTATGGGCAGCACAGATGGATACGTCAAACCCTGTCAGGATTGGAAAGGCAAGAGAAACCTTCATTGCTATGAAATAAATCCAGAAATATACTGCGGTAAGCATAAGTACAAGATTCAGACTTTTAACACTAATGTCAAGACAATAAATGCTTCTAAATGGTTTAAATACTTTGAGTGCCACCAAAAGCATTTCCAAAGGGCTACAACTTCGGCAATGGACCAATCAAGGAACTATCGCTCAATAAAAATGTCTAAGGATATGGAAATGGACTAGACATACGCTGAAGAGACAGCTGAGTTATATCATCCGCCAGCTTATCACTAGAGTGGAATCCAAGAGACCCATGGAGGGGATCTTCGGAGGCATTAATGAAAGCCTATAGGAAATCGTGTAGAGCGCTAAAAATGACTGCAGAGAACAGGATGAAGTGACGATGTGCTGCTGAAGGCCCTAATAATAGGAAATGCAATTCCATATTAGTTGGTTTATTAGGTATATCACACAGTGAAACAGTATTATTTACTGGATGACGTTTCGAACAAAATTTATTGTTCATAATCATATCAACTGTAATCACACGACTTTGAGACTTGAGTTTTATAGTTTTCTTTGTTCTCTCCTATTTGTCATCATAAGGGTAGTAGAATTTTCCAGATATCTGGGACAGGTATTGAATCATTCCTGCTACGTGTATTTGCAGTTGATTCGATAAACAAAGCTTCTGTTATCAATCTCTCCCTCCATCCTGTTGTTACATTAGATTTTAAAAGTGTCATTCTATCCCATCCAGCCTATTGTATGGTTGTGTGTAACTGCATGTAGTGCTATAGCTGAACTATTCTCTAGATTTCTTATCTTATTTGGGTCCACCAATCTAAATTTTGCTAGGTTTTTATGTTCAACTATTCTGACTGCACCTGTTCTACTAGTTTGACCTATGTATTTGGCCTAACAATCATTGCAGACAGGGTTGATCCTTTAACCGACAAAGCTTGCTTCTAATTGAGTTTGTGGTTGGTTTGAATGCCAGCCACTTCTATTCCTGCCTTGTTAAGAATTCTGCGTAAGCTGGTTTCCGAGGTTCCTTCCTTGTATGGAATTACCACTGTGTGATACATCTAATAAACAAACTAATATGGAATTACTTACCACCACAGTGTCCAAGTTTTACACAGATATTACCAGGAAATGCAGTCTTTGAAGGCGAGTTTTGACCAATATTAATGATAATTCCTAGACAATAACTTGAATATAATTATAATCAATGAGAAATAAGGGCAATCTTCGGTATCATAACACTTACGAAGATCTGAGGTGTGTGCAACTGCTGATTTTTGTGAAGGAACAGATAAATTTTCACTATCAAGTATTGATTTGTAGGGATTCGATCGCTCGCGAGTTGACGTCAGTTAGAGAACTACTAGTTCCTGATCCAGTAGATGAATGGTCTACCTGCTCACCTTGTAACCGTAAGATCCTCGGTTCGAACCCTAGTGGGTACATACGTACTACTTACTGAAGAGTTGTAGACTGTCCAGTACCTCCAAAGTTTTCCAATGGTTCTCTAACAGATAAATTTAAAACGTAGAGTTTCACACATTTCAGCTAATAATAATAATAATCGAGAAAAACGGCAGATTAACTTTTCACACAGACACAAATGGAAATGTAGTCTAATGTTTAACTGAAGGGATGTGAAACGAAAATACTACCACTACTACTACTATGACTACGACTAGAAGCACTACCACTGTGATTTGTTTCTCTTGACTAATTATCACCATATGGTAAAATCAACTACTAACAACACCTGTTTACAAGTTGAATGAATAATGGAGTTATCAAAATCGTTGTTGTATTAAGGACAGTAAGCATACACTGATTGCATACTACACTACATATATATATATATATGTACATGCCACCTAATTTGTAATGTAACAACATACTCTGAGAAAAATAATCTGTTATTGTTTTAAATAGCTTTTGTCTACTTGACGAGTGGTTTAATTCTGGTTTCAATTCATTAGCTAAAAAAAGACGAAATCAGTGGCTAGAATTCAAGTGTTACACACAGTCGAAATTAAATATCAAAATGGTACTGTGCACAAATGATCATATTTTGACAGAAGGAATTTGTCCCTGATAAATGACAACTTTCACATTGAGCATCTCATATGTTTAAGTATGTTATATAAGTTAGTAATTTCAGTGTGTTTATGAACAGTGAATAAACCTTATCAAGTTTTTCGATCATGGAGTGATATGAGTTAGAGAACCAAATGGAAAACCAAATGGGAGTAATCGACAGCTGCTGTTTCGTTAGTCTAGTCTGGGACTCTTATTCAGCAGGGCCATCCGGTTACAAGGCAAGCTCGCAGACCATTCAACCACTGGGGCAGGACTCAATGGCTAGCCCGTGAATTCCAACCTCTACCAATTCGCGATTTTGACACGACCACAAGCCAATGTCATCAAACTTGAAACTAACCAAATCCCTACAAACAAACTCTTTTGAACTATTCTCATGCTCACTAGTGATTGGCTGCAGGACGAAGTTGCCTGGAGTGAGTTCTAGTGATTAGTCATGACCAGTTAGGTCCATCAGCTTGGAAGTGAGGACTGGTACTCGCAGATGACATTGGCTGGTGATCTCTATGAAATTACCATTGGCTGAATGATCTACTAGATTGCCTTGTAACCAGACTATTCTCGGTCCAAATCCTGGCGACTGATGAGTCCCAAACCAAGACGAAACAGCCGTGAATAACCCCTTGATGGTTTTTAATGTTTCGTTAACTGATATCATTCCGTAATCAAACTTGAAACAAACCAGATCCCTACAGGCAAACTCTTGGAAAATAAATCTTTTCACAATGTGCATAAACTCACCTTTTGTTATTATTATTTTTTTCTATTTCAGAGGTATATACAGATTACCGAAAGGTGCTGATCATCCAGTCGATTCAACAGCTGAACGATTTACACCAGCAGAATGTCAAAAAGCAGCGAATGAATTAGGTCTTCGAAGAAGACAAATGCGATTCTGTATGCATCCACGTTTTGGTTATGCAATGCTTGCTGTACTTAGAGCTGCACATGCTGTTGGTTATCATTGTCCAAAAACATTTTCAGATAGACGATGGAATTGTACTTCTATTCATCAATTGCCACATGTTTCACCAGAGTTAAGACGAGGTGATTTGATTGTTCAAAATTTTTACTTGTTTCTTTGATTAATATTTTTTTAAAATGGAACTCCTTATTCGATAAATGTATTTCTTCACCAATGTGTAGAGACGTTTAAAAAAAAATAACAAACCATGACAGCTGATTAATTTCATGATTGTTATTATTATTATTGTTTCCTTTAGTTCCTAGATGAACACAGGGCTTCAGTTGCACGTCTCCATTGCGTTCAGTTCGCTGCCAACATTCCCGACTGGCTCCTCTTCTGATGACCTCCTCCATGTCACCCTTACAATGACGACCAATTCGCCTCTTCACATTCAGGTTCCAACTGAGCGATGGACTGACGTGTGATGTCACTTGATGGTTTGTTTTCTCAGAGTATGGCCAGCCAATCTACCTCCATATCTTCCTGCATATTTGTTGCACAATGGGTTCCTGGTTGGTTCGCTCGCAGAGATCCGTGTTGCTGATCATTTCTGGTCATCTGATCTTGAGTTGTGTTGAGCAAATACAGCTGTTGATGAAGGTCTGTAGTTTGTTCGAAGTGGCTTTCATGACGCGCCAAGTCTCTGATCAGTATATTTAGTAGCACTGACTTCACATTGGAGTTGAAAATACGGATCATATTTTTCATACTGAGTGCTGTTGACCTCAACACAGACTTGGGAGTAATGAAAACTTGCCTTGCTTTCCCGATCATCGCTGCTTTGATATCCTCATCAGTTCCGTCTGCCTGTAGTTGAAATGATGCTTCCCAAGTAGGTCGATAGGTAAAGGAAGTTCCTTCTTTCATATGTCTCTGATTCTTGTCTCTTATTGTGGTTGTTGTTGTTGCTGTTGGTCAGGAAACTTCATCATCTACTTCTGTTTTCTCTATGTTCACCTGAATTCCTATCTTTTCAGGATGCTTCTTCTGCCAACTTGTTGCTATTCACTTGCATATCTTCCAGTTTGTGGGAAACAGCCATATATATCATCATCGGAGAAGTCCAAACCCTCAAAAATTGTTGTGTGGGTCCATTTTATGACTGTTTCCTCGTTGCCCGCTGTCTGTCTGTAGCATTATCCAGTCTACCGCAATCAGGAAAATCATTGGAGACAGTAGGCAGCCAGCCAGCCTTGTCTTGTTCCCATCTTCACTTCGAAGGATTCCGTGAGCTTCCCGTTGTGGATTACTTGGCATGCAGCATTGTCGTACAGCTGTTGGATGAGATGTATAATTGTCGGTGGCACCCCATAGTAGCGACAAACAAAAAGAAAATAAACTATGGCAGTTGATTAATTTCATGATCATTTTATGAAATTAAAAGGTGTCATCCAAGACAGTTTCCTGGTACTTTCGTAGCAATGTCCCTATGGTGTCTGGTCTCCTATATAATAACAATTGTAGTAATACTTGAATACTTGAGTAGTAGTAACAGTTTACAAAATGTGTATGTAATTCTCAGCGTAATTTATTGCTAAAATGTGCTTTTCTTTCAGGATCTTTGGTAAGCTAAAGTAAAAACACCAAGTAAAATGCGAAATCGCGTCAACTTTGAGGGAATAAAAGATGCCGCTGATACAGAACTCGGCCCTACTCCAGAAGAAGCTGGATTCAGGAAAGGCAAATCATGTGCTGATCAAATTGCAACTCTACGTACGCATCGTCATCACAGAAAAAAGCATAGAATGGCAGTCAAACCTATACCTCAACAGCTCAATGAAATTCAAAAAGATCTTCGACAGACAGCATTGACCGACAAGAAATTTGGAAACTGCTTCAACACCATAGCGTGCAGTACACAAGTCTTCTACCAACCTCATTCAGCAGATATATGACGATGTCACGTGTCCGGTGATCGAAAATGGAAAACTCAGCGAGACGTTCGAAGTGAATACAGGAGTAGGAAAAGCCAGCTGCCTGCCTATTATCAGAGACGGTATTCCTAGATGTGGTGGAGTGGACTTCGCAGAATACTGTGAACAGGGAGTGAGAAGACAGGAATACTCAGTAATGACCGATAAAAAGACTTCATCTAGAAGATCTGGATTCCGAGGTGGATGATTTATATTTATTGTCGCACAAAGTCAAAGCCTTACAGGCAAATACCGACAAACTGACTGAAGAAGCTCACAGCAAAGACAGGACAGATTTCAGGTGACCACAGAGAAGATGGAGGTGATCAAGATCACAAACCAACCGACCAATCAACAGCAACAACAGCCAACACCAATCATCATCAACGGGAGAAATTCAAAAGAGGTCACTTCCTTCACTTATCTAGGAAGCATCATTTCAACTACGGGACATTGAAACAGATGAAAATGTCGAAGCTGGCCAACCAGAATTGGAAAGGCAAGATATGCCTTCATCAACCTGAAACCAGTTCGGAAATCTTCTCCACTAACTCAGTCAGCAGTACAAAGAAAAGGATTCGGATTCTGTTCAACACGAATGTGGAGTTAGTCAGTTCTTCTATACGGGTGAGAAACCTGCACTGCAGACTTTTGTCAGCCCACTTCTCTGGCTGGCTCCATAATGAAGATCAAATGGCCAGCCGGCCGGCCAGCCAGAAATAGTTAGCAACAGGAAACTATGGCTGGCAACAAACTACCTGAGAGGCAGTTGCTCAACAAATATTTAGGAGAAAATGGAGATGGATTGATCGGGCCTACGCTGAGGAGGCCGTCGATTGACATCGTGCGCACTGCAGGTCATCGCTCGAGTGGAATCCAAATGAGAAGCAATGAGTGGGTCATCGGTGTGAGGTTGACATAGACGAGGTCGTGTGAGTTGGAGGAGAAGATGAAGGACTACGGTAAATCGTGGAGCCAGCTAGTTGAAGCCGACGGCGTAAAATAGAAGAGAGTGGAGATGTGTTATTGAAGCTCTATGTTCCACTCGGGAGCCAAGAGAGTAATAAAAAACTAATAATAATCAGGATCTTTGAGTATAATAGTAATCCATAATGCCTCAATTGACGCAGTGCTATTCGAACTGTAACATAAATTGATCCGTTATGAAATTTTTCCTTAGCCTTCGAGTAATGTAGGTTGAAAGCCGACTAAAATTTGCATGAGTACACTTCGCAACCCAAAGAAATAAATGAATGTTTAAAATGATAAGAATTAGCGAAAATTCTATGTATTATGTTGGTTGGAAATCCAGGTAGCTCAGTGATTCAAACAGACCACTGAAGATAAAATCTATTTCACTGTGCAGCACTTCGAACATACTAACCTCGGAAAGACACTTTTATGAATGTTATTTAGAGAGAATAATTCCGCTGAAGGACTGCATTCAAACAGCCTTGTTATTTTAGGTAACAGTACACTTCATTCTGGTAATAACTGACTAGATTTGAGAAATGATACTCAAATATGGGAATGTGAGAATCAGTTCACAATCCCCTTTCATCACTTCTATTGAAACCAGTAACTTGTGAAATTAAAGTTGATAATTAAAATGGCAATCACACAAAACGTTCCGGGTTTCGATCCACGGGCACAGACCCACTCCTTTACCTCGTTGACGCAGTAATAAGACTGATAAAGAGGCAAGGTTGGGCATGAAGCTAGCAACTCCATCCCGGGAAAATAAACACCACTGCTACCGAAGCTTCAAGCCTCCAGCTTAAGGCTCTATTTTCCGCTGAGAACATAAAGGAATAAAAAATACTAGACACAACTTGTTGACTATTTTCCCATCTTCTTCTTGTACCCTCACATAATAAACTTTCTGATATAATTCGAATTAGCCTTAACTGACTATTGTATGCTGAAATTGACAGATTTATAACTGTACAGTCTGAAGAAAAATTTATTCTTATAACAATTAATGAAATTTTCTTAATGAATTTTAGGTACACGTGAACAAGCCATTGTTCATGCATTTGCCAGTGCAGTTTTATTATTTGAAATTGGACGATATTGTGCACTGAATAAAATTCGTTATTGTTCTTGTGGTGATGAAGACGGCGCTTATGCTACACCAAATTATCCTACATCACATCCCTATACAACAGGTAATAATTTACCCGGGCAACAGCATAGAAAAAATGCCTATAATGATTTCAGTGGTGCACTAGTCTACAGTTCTGGTGCTAACACTATGGATATGATGGAGACATCAAAATCAAATAATATCCCAATGACAGATGGTCAACCGACAGTGAGTAAATTCTACTGGGCTGGTTGTTCAGATAATTTACGTGTTGCTAAAGAGTATACATCATTATTTCTTGGTTTTCCAAATGTACAAGTTATGCTGCCTCCACCAGTTGAAACAGATATGCCGAATTCCGATGCAGCACAAGATATGATGAATAGCCAGAATCGTCATAGAAGATCTACATATTCTTCTCGTGTTACAGAGAACAGTATACACACAACAGAATATTCAGAATTTACTTCTAATTTACTCTATAATCTTGTAACGTCGGATTATACTACAAATGATAACATAGATGATGAAGATGATATTGAAGATGACGGTGATGCAGAAAATGATGATTCAAACTTGTTTCCTTTACAACTTGAATACGCTGATAGACGACGTCGTAACTTACAAAGGCCATGGGCATATCAACAAGGTATGAAGAATAATATGTACCCGTCTTATAATCCAATTCCGCCAGCCTATGATTCAGTGCAGAATACAGCGGGTGAAAATATGCCTGTTTCATCTAATAATCAACCTTATTCTGACCAGAGATGGCCACGTCGTCCAAGGTCAAGATTCACCAAAAAGAAATCTGTAATACGTACTCTGAATCGTCATAATTATTTAGCAGGAGTTGTAGTAAGTTTTGATCGAGTTTTACTGATTAATTTTCTACAAAACACCTTATTTTTCAGTGTACATGAAATTATAATTTTTAGTTCTTTAGAGAATTCAACCATCTAACCGTATATAATGTCATGTGTAAGTGAACTACAATGACATTTCGCCTAGCATGGTGACCACTTTGCCAACTAGACAGATAAAATCTAGTTGCGCACAGCCTAAAACAAATAATTAAATTTACTTATGAAGTGGTTTCAACTTACTTGTAAAAGTGACATGATGTTAGTTTCTAGAGATGCGATTTTTTTCAAGAACCACTGAAAACCAGCCGGTAGTACTGAGCACTTGTTTCATGAGCCTAGTGTGGGAGTCATCGCAGCACGCACACACCACCAGGGTCAGAACCCAGAACCTTCCGGTTATATGGTTAGCTCGTAGACGATTCAACCAATGCGACCTGACTCATTCTCCCATGAATTCTAATTTCTATCATTTTGTGATTTTGACGTGATGATCATCCAGTTTCATCAGCGAATATTTTACCCCACTGCTGACCGTATGGACCCTAATGGTCACGACTTCTTGGTAGAACTCCAGACAACATCATGCAGCCAGTCATCAGGGTGCAAACTGGGACTAAACCGGCTATCTGGTACTCCCTGGTTTTCAATGATTCTCCAACTGATATCAGCACGTTACAGGGAACTCCGAAATTAATAAACAGTGCTCGGAAATTACACTTATATAACTTATGCACAGAAGGTTCAGGTTTAAACATACTAGAACTAAAACATAATAAAGGTTTGAATACAATAGAAAAGAGGTTACGCAATTAGGACAAGAAGTTTGCCACAGCAGTCGTTATCAGGTGTTTGAAACCTGATTTATGTGTTCAGAAAGATACAGTTATCAATCTCTTATAGCCCTGGTTGGTGTCTTTACTCTTCTCAGTCTTAGGCTTCAACCTATTCCCCTTTCGCTATATGATAATTCTGCTTGTCTTTTGTTTCAGTGATGTGCGTTGAATTCACCGCATTGTTATGCAGTTTATTACTCAGCATCCTGTCCACCTCTTGTCTCGATTATGTAACTTCTTTTGCATTGTATCCAGAATTATTATTTTTTGGTTTTGTTTCGCTCAAACTTGAATCTTCAATGTAAAATTTCCAAGAGATGGAGAAAACCATTGGAAACCAGAGTGTACTACACATCTGTTCCGTCCTAGTTTGAGAATCTTTGTCAGGAGGCACCTGCTACCAGGGTCTGAACCCAAAACCTTCCGGTTATAAGGTGAGTTCACAAGCCATTCAGTCACTGGGACACTTTCCAACGGACAGTCTATGAATTCCAACTTCTACTAGCTGGTAATTTCACGGCGACTAACAGCCAATACCATAGGTACGCATTTCTCTTCACACTGGACCAGGTGAACCCAACTTCTTACTAGAACTCCAGGCTGTGGTCGTCCTGTGGTCGGTGACTACTGAGTTTCAGATAATTTTCAGCAGTCATTTAGTAGATATTTGACTGATTTCACTTCTGATCACTGATTGATGTCAGCTAGTTAAATAAGTGTTATTTCTGAGCACTTTTTATTAATCTTGAAGTCTCCTACTAACTGACATCGTGTCACACATGCTAGTACGTTAAAAAAGCTGTGGACATAAACCAAATTAATTTTCTTAGGCTGCATGCAGCTGATAAAAAGTCACCGAAATAAACAATGCTATCATCTTATTCTGCACACATACACACTGTTGTATTTTTCTTTATTCAGATTCGTTAAGGAAAATACGTGTATGAAATAACAGAATTTTAGTTGGCACTAAGAATGACTACTTTTCAATGAAAAATCACTATAACTGATAAAGTTCTATTGAAAATTAATCAATGCTCATATAAATGAATGATAATGTCTGCCATAGCTGCACAAGGCGAAGTGGCTCGGCTTCTAAGAAGGTTGCAGGCACAGCCTACTGAAGACAGCCATTATACACGAACCCTAGGAGATCCAAGTCTTTCCACCAGCTGTTCTTAACAATGTAATACAGTGAGAAAAAACAATTGCATAAGTGAAATAACATCTATGAGGATTTGAGTTAGCTGAAAAGACACTCTTAATTTGAACCAGTGTGTGAAAACTCATAAAAGTTTGTACCACTCTTTACTGTGAATTAATGGAATCTAGTGAACGAATATACGTGTATTTTGGCACTATATATCCATATATATTCACAGAGACACAGAAACAGAAAGAGAGGAGCAAACAGACGGACAAATAGAGAGACAGAGGTGAAGTTTCATCATAGTTTCCATTGCGAAATGAAATTATTCAGAACTCAGCAAGAATGATAATGAAGAAAGCAAGGATAAATGCATAAGAGTAAATACTACAGACTGACGTAGACGGCCATCCGGTGTTTAGATCACTGAAACATTGGATATGGATATATAATACATTATTATTATTGTTCCTTTTAGTTCCTAGAGGAACATAGGGCTTCAGCCACACGTCTCCATTGCATTCGGTTCTCCGCCAACTTCTGCATCTGGCTCTACGTCTACCCACATGCTTTAATCTCCTCTTAACATGACCTCCTCCCACATGTCATTCTCGCACTGAAGACCGACTCACTGCTTCCCATTCGAGTTCCACTTGAGAGATGGCCTGGCGTATGATGTCACTTGAAGGTTTCCTCAGAGTATGGTTAATCCACACCCATTTCTTCCTGCTTATTTGTTGCACAGTCGGTTCCTGATGGGTTGGTTCGCTCACTGCCAGAGATCCTTGTTATTGATCTGTTCTGGCCATTCGGTCCTGAGTATTTTTGATCAAAGACAGCTGTTGATGAAGGTCTGTAGTTTGTTCGAAGTGCTCTTCATGACGCCCAGTCCCTGATCCATAAAGTAGCACTGACTTCACATCGGAGTTGAAAATCCGGATCTTACTTTTCATGCTGAGTGCTGTTGAACTCCACACAGACTTGAGAGTAGTGAAAGCTTGTCTTGCTTTCCCGATTCTTGCTTTGATATCCTCGGAAGTTCCGTCTGCCTGTAGTTGAAACGATGCTTCCCAGATAGGTAGGTGGGTAAAAGAGGTTTTTTCTTTCAGGTTCCTCCCATTTATACTGATCGTTGTCTGTTGTTGTTGTTCTTTTCCAGGAATCTTCATCACCTCTGCTTTCTCTATGTTCACCTAAATTAAAGTCCTATCTTTGATGCTTCTTCTGCCACCTTGTCGTTTTTCACTTGCACATCTTCCAGTTTGTGGGAAATCAGATATATATCATTGGCGAAGTCCATATCCTCCAAGTTTTTGTGTGGATCTGTTTAATACCTGTCTCCTCGTTGCCCGCTGTCTCTCTGTCGCATTATCCAGTCTACTCTAATCAAGAAAATCATAGAATGCAGCCAGCCTTGTCTTACTCCTGCCTTCACTTCGAAGGATTCCGTGAGTTTCCGGTTGTGGATTACTTGGCACGCAGCGTTGTTGTACAACTGTTGGATGAGATGTTTAATCGTTGGCGGCACCCCCTGGTAACGAAGTAGTTGCCAAACCACCTCTCGATCGACGCTGTCTGCTGAAGGCCTTTTCAAAGTCGATGAAGCTGAGGAAGAGGGCTGACTGTCAATTCAGGCTTTGTTCAATGATGATAAGTGGTGTTGATATTTGATCGGAGCACGACTTGTTTCTCTTGAATCCAGCCTGTCTCAGTTGAATTTTCTCATCTAGTGTGTGTTTAATTCTTTCCAGGATGATGCGGCTTAGCATTCTGCTTCGGATAGACAGGAGCATAATTCCGCACCAGTTCTTGCATTGTCTTAAGTCCCTTTTCTTTGGCAGCTTGAATAAGTAACCTTTCTTCCAATCCTCAGGTCGGCTGATGTCTCTGGGTCCATTTTCAATGCTACTGCTGGGATTCCGTCTGGTCCTTCTGCTTTTCCAGTTTTTAGCATCTTGATCGCCTTCAGGACTTCTGTTTTCGTCGGAGGCTTGATGTCCACCAGTAGTTCTGCTTCCGCTGTTGGTATTATTGGGCGCGTTGTAGGTGGCGGTAGATTTAGCAGTTCACTAATACATTATAAACCGAATTATTTATCGACTGAGTTCTTTAAAGTTCTCATAACATCTGTGTATGCTGCTTCACTGTGATCCTGACCACATACTTGCTGGAACTGTTCACTTCAAACAGTAATCAGTCATCTTAAACTAACTTGACTTTCTGTACATATTCACCTCACCTAAATAAAATCAGGGCAAATCTCTTTTTTGGTTATAGTACCATGATGGTCTAATTATTCGTTCGATCTTATAACTGCGTCTATACAAATATAGTCCAATATTATCACCACACCTTAATATTTTTTTAAAAATGTACTCTACTACTGATAATGAGTAAAGCAAACTGTATAAATTATCTTTGGTCGTCCACTGTGACTTTAAATCGAGTCTTTAAGGTAACAGTGCATACTTGTGCAGAGGTCAATATACTATCAGAAATTTTGCTAAACCATTTATTTTTGCATCTGAAACAAGCAACAAAGGTTAATAAAGCAGAATTTAATGAATTCATCAGATTTCGGTAGAACTACCCTTCAACTGAATACTCCACATACAAGGATATACATTTATACCATTAGATTTACAGTGTGAGCTATGAGACTGATCAGCAAATAAACTCAAGTGAATTAGTTATGCAAAACTCCACGTGAGAATGTTTTTCAGTTCATGTTCAAATAGATAAGGAGAAGGGAGCATGAGAGATTAAAATTAAGATAAAATGCATTACGCTGCAATTACATCACTTGGATAAGCAATTAGTCATCGGATAAAGAAATTAAATATATCATGAACTGTGAACTGAGTAATATTAATAGTAATGGTTATAATAATAATGTCGAAACAATTTAAGATAATGCTATTGATGGCGGATATTTCCAAATGAATCAGGAGTAATAATAAGAGGTAGAATAAAGTGTTATTGATATTAATAATAATAATAACAGTTAATAAGTAAAACGTATCACCATTGTAGATTCAGAGGGACGACCATTTACTTTTGTACACAGAGAACTGGTTTATAAGCCCTAATTCTATAAGCCTCCGCAATTGCAAGCATCTTCCTGCTTATTTGTCTGCTGATAACAGTGAATGTCCGTAATCCTCAAGATGCTTTCTTATTGAACCTTGTGGCAATTTGAATTCACGGGTTTTCAACAACTTTAGCAGATGCTCCATCATGCGACTAGATAATCGCCTTCCTGTACGACCTATGTATTTGCTTTCACAAACACACTTAAAAACAGACACGCGCAATTCGAAGCGTTGAGGATTGGTTATCAATCTTTCCCAGATTAATGAAGCACGCACTTGGAAGTGTTAAGGAAGACGAGGTTTGCAGTATAATAAGTTCTCTTGATAGCTTTGTCGAGACTTCGTTTGATGACTTTGATTGGACTTTGAAAGGACTAGACGCATAACACGAGTTACTAGTGTCCAAACAAAGTATCCACTAAAGTCCTACGTGAGGTTAACCGCGAGCCCGAATAGCTCCTCAGTAGTAACGTCTCTGACTTCAGGACTCATTGGGTTACGCGGGTTCGAATCTCAGAAGTGACACGAGTTCCTTCAAGGTAGCAGATATGCTTTGGTGACTTGTGAGTGTCAACTATCTCGAAACCTAGGTGTAGGTAGCCAAGATTTCCTACCGATCGCGTCCAACCATCTAGTATCATCAAAGTCCCTCTCTGTCCCTTATTCATCAACAAACGGTTGCTAATTATCAAAAAACAGAAAAAAACCCAGATGAAATACTGATTGCACACTGCATTCACCGGGTTATTTGTTTTGCTTTTAACACAGACAAAGTCATTAATCGGGTTCAATATACAATATGCATAGATAATCAAACCATGCACTACTATAAACATAATGATTCAATTATTAAAAATCATAATATACAGGCAGGCATCTTACCTACTATGAGAAGTGTACATATATATACATATATACATATAAACATGGTCTACATTTTATGCTATGCAGAATAAATGTTACGTTTAAATGATTCATCCTATCATTGTATATTGAACAAACATATATGCATACACATAGGCAAATAAAAGTGTACATTATTTATTACTGTTTTTTTTATTATGTATATATACATATATTAAAAATAGTCGGAAAAATGCTTGTAGTTAGCTTTCTTTTTTAAAGAGAATATTTAACCTTTTCATAAATAATAAAATAAAACTGTGTACACCACTGTCCAACTAGCCTATTAATAATCCTCATTTGAATGTTTCTGTTACTGGCAGTATTAGTAGGAATAACACCAATATTAGTAATAATAATAATAACAATAATAGTTATTACAACAACTGTACCACCTCCTTGTACTATTTATTCATTTATAGTACACAGAATTGTTCAGCCTTTCGTTTACCTACCTCCTGTTATTTATTATTTAGTAAAAAATGCAGTGACAATGAGTATTTATTTTTGTTACTTTATACATGAATGTATTACAGAAATAGAAATGCCTTTTTAAATCCTACATCTTAAAGTGGATATCCTAATTCGAATTTATTCTATTGTCAGCTAGTATGACTGAAACTACTGACTTGCGATGAAAAATCTCTAGTGCAGCCTTCTTCGCCTAGAAGGTAGGCAAGTACTTTGCCTGGATAAAGATTTCGTCAAAACTGAATTATATTCATCATCATGAGGATAAGTAGGAAAAATATGACAGAACAGAAGAAGTTTAGACAACCAGCGATCACTCAACCTCTAACTTTGTAGCTTGTTAACTCTCAAATCTTATTTACTGTTCTGTATTACCCTCAACTCCCTTATTCTTTGCTAGGCTGCTCAAAAAGGATTATATCATATTTCAAAGAGTAATTAAGAGTGCGTCGGTGGCACAGCGGTTAAGACTCTCGCCGACCATGCACATGGTCCGAGGTTCGATCTCCTATCGACACACACCCGATATCAATGGTCGGCTTGCGAAATTTGGACTACCGATATCATATGCTGAAAATTCCATACTTGTACCGAAAATACTCTGTGGAATCAAGCTATAATAAAAAGATAAATTAAGGTTGTCAGTAGAGCAAGTGGTGTGGACCAACTAAATCAGCTTGTTACTATAGTAGTTGATCGACACCTGAACACTCATGTGAGAAATGGTCTAAATCAATATTGTCTGACTCTCAACATCCTCTCTATTCCAAACTCTTCCCTTGAATCTCATCAGGTAGGAGGACTTGAAGTCAATATAAAAGATTATATCCTCGCTTGCACAGCTGAGTACAAACCTCGACGATGATCTATTTGGTCTGCCCGCTTTCTATGTTATAGAGATAGTGTTAGGCATGAAACTTGTCAAGTACTATGTAATTAGCAAAACAGCTGACTCTTTTGCCTTCTTCTATTTGTAATTTTTGGTGACACTATAGCAATTAAATTGTAATTCTAGTTATTAGTACTATTATTATCACTTTATACCTCTTGTATATTGTTGAATTTATTGTTACTGCTAATATCCTCTAATATTTTCTGTTTTCGCCATTGTTGAGTAAATCAGATGCAATGTTGTACCGAACGCTGAGTATTCCATTTTGTGTCATAAGTACTGCTTTAGATCAAAGCAAATCATTATTGTCGTTGTTACTATCGCATCTGTGGCACAGCATTAAAATGCTTGCCAACCACGCAGGTATTTCAGGGTTCCATCTCCCGCCACAGACACATTCCTACACCTCGCTAAGCCAGTAATAAGACTGGCAAAGAAGGAAGGTTGGGTATGAGGCTAGCAACCCCATCGCTCAAAAATAAAACACCACTGCTACAGAAACTTCCACTGAGAACCTAAAGGCATTTTAAAAAAATTATTACAATCAGAAATAAGACAAATTATACATAACTATGACTATTCATTCTTTGATTTTATTATATATAATTTACCCATGTTAACAAGAAATATAAATATTTTAAATTGTGCTAAGTGGGAGGACTAAAAGTGAGTGATACTCTTTGTGTACCCTGAGGCTTGAACAAAATATTTATTTTATTATAGCTTGACTCCAAAAGGTACAAGTATGGACTTTTCAAAATGTGATGTTGGTAGCCCAATTTCGCAGACCGACCGTTGATGTCGAGTGTACGTCGGCCGGGGATCGAACCCCGGACCATATGCATGGTTGGTGAGAGTCCTAACCGCTGTGCCACGGACGCACAGGAAGTAGATCGACAGAGGAAATTTAATAATAATAATAGTAGTGGTCTGCTTTATTCCGAAAACAGTACTTATAATACAGTATGGGTTTTTCAGCATTTGTCACAATATTTCATAGTATTTACTCAAAATATAAATAAAATTCGCCACAAGCACATTTCCACATTTACAGTAGGAATGATGTCAGAAATATGCAAAGTATAAAATGAGAATATATAAATATAATAATAGTAGTAATAATAACAGTAATACCAGTGACATCTAAAGTTCACCTACTATATTTATAAGCGAATTGATTAGGGTCATTAAAAGCCTTCAATGAAGGCTCAAGGTTAAGTGATTGCAGTCTCATTTGGTATACCATCACTCAGTGGGAATGCACACTTATCTGGTTAATGAGTTTCAAATAGGACGAAACGCACATTTATTGTAATACTACACACAGGCTGCAGAAAATGCCGAGTTTTTCTCTAAAAAGAAACTCATCATGTCACTGTTCGAACTTTAACTGGGCTATGGACTAAGTGGCCTAGTGAAAACACAAGTGGTTATCAATTTGTACTTGTACCTTATATAACTGATTAATTAAAATACATTTTATTTTATTATTATCAATCGTGTTAGAGGTAAAGAGTTAGTGAATAAACTACGGAATGTTATCATCGCGTAATATTTGTCTTTTTGATGCCTTATTAAAAGGAATTAATGGTTCATAGAGTACAAACAGATATTAAATGTATATTTTTCTGCCGATATCCTGAAGATATTTTATCTACTTTTGAATGCAATTTCAATGAAGTTTAATAAGAAATAAATATATGCCAATTCAAGTATTGGTTTGTAGGGATTTTGTTTGAATGGTTATAGGATTTCAATTTGATCTGACATTAGTTAGAGAACCATTGGAAAACCAACTTGGAGTACTGGACAGCTGTTTCATCCAGCACTATCCAGCTGACCAGTACTCCCAGGTTTTCCAATGGTTCTCTAAGAGTTGTCAGCTCAGGATGAAATCCTCCAACCAACCAAACGAAATGCCTACAAACTAATACTTGAATATCAATGAGATGCTCACTGGTGACTGACCATATTCAGGTAGGTAGTTACCTGGGTTCTAGTGGGAAATCGTGACCTATGTCGTAAATTGGCAGAAGTTAGAATGCATGGGCTGGCCACTGGATCGGGTGGGTCCCAGTGCCTTAATGGTCTACGAGCTAGCTCGCCTTGTAGCTGGAAAGCACTGGGTCCGAACATTGGCGGTGGGTGCGTACTGCTGAATAAGAGTCACAAACTAGGCTGACGAAACAGCTGTCCAGTACTCCTAGTTGCTTTTCAAATGGTTCTCTAACCAATGTCAGCTCATGATGAAGTCCTCCAACCAATCAAACAAAATTCGGACAAAACCATTACTTGAATATATACATATATATATAGTTTTTCGGCTTCTTTATTTCTCCGCTGATTCACATGAAGTATAAACGACTAATAATACATTAGCAATGCAATATAAAATGTGATTTTGTTGTTTCTTCATTTCGGAACGTTTTATTGATACAATGACGCAGAGTAGTTGACTTTCACTAACACACCATAGTGTGAATAATAATAATAATGAAAGTAATAAAATCACATTCATTAAAATTGTCTGTTTAATTTCATTTCAGTTAATGGAAGCGAATCAAAAGTTGGTTTGTAAATGTCATGGTGTAAGTGGCAGTTGTGCTCAACGTGTCTGCTTCCGTCAACTTCGTCGTATCGATACTGAGGTAATGCAGAAAGCGCTGAAAATGAGATATTTGGTAAGTCAAGAGAAAATTTGTATGTTTTACAACATTAAATAACTTGAGTAACCTTGTCACACTACAGCATAAGCACATACAATGCATTTTGTAAGCCAAATATTATCATTGTCTGTGTATATAGACATGTACAATAAGATGCTTGACTCTGAATTGAACTTCCTTATTATTTTTCCAGTGGTCTTTATTCCTGACTAACTCAATTGCTAAACTTGTTTGTTTGTACATTCATTCTTTGCATTAAACGTCTATTCATGTTATTTGCTTTTTTTGTTGTTGACGGTTTTGAAGGTGGAATGTTTTTACTGATAGCTTTTTAGGACGACTGTTTCGTCATAGTCTAGGACTATTCGGTGGTACGTACCTATTGGGATTTGAAACCAGGACCTTCCGGTTACAAGGCAAGCCCGTGGACCACTCAGCCACTGAGTTCTAATTCAATGGAACATGAATTCCTTTATGCATCAAGAATTCACACAAGTTGAAATTCATGGGCCACTATATTTAGTCTCAGCGGTTGAATAGTCAACGAGCTCAACTCATAAGCTGAAAGTCCTTGGTTCAATCCGTGGTAGGGGTCTTGGATGCGTACTTCGTAAGAGTCTTAGGCAAAGACGAAAGGACTGTCCAGTACTCTCTAGTTTCCAGTTGTTCTCTAACTGGTATCGGTTTGTGATCAATCTTGGAATGTTCACTGAAATGAAATTCACTTGGATGAATGTTACGGGGGTAACCGCGATAGTACGTAATACTAATCTATAAGAATTATGACTGTTACCTTCGATGCATAAAAGAAACTGACACCTCAGATACATGTAAATTTACATAAACAATCAGAGCTAATATCACTTTTATCATATCCATTTCTGACCTCCTGAACCAAGTTGTCTCAGTCACCTAGATCTCCTGACTGTCTTCATAGCTGGTAGGATTCCAGATGAACTGAAATTCAGTGGCTTAAAAAATACTTGAGTATCACTAGTTCCATGGTAGAATACGCATCAATGACGTCTTGGGTTTGATTTTGATTTCTGGCTGACTCACAACTTAACCTCACATAGCTGGTACAAAGTAAGTCCTTTGAAAGCAGAAAACTGTGTGTGTAACTGGCAACCATAACTGGTAAAAAAGCACCGCTGCTACTGAATCTTCAAAGTTCCTGCTTAAAGCACCATATCCTACTTGGAACTCGGTGGATTGAAAACGAAAAATATTCACTTAATCTTAGTTTAGCTTGAAGTAAAGACTACAAATGTAAAGTGAAGTAATAACGCTACAGTTGAATACTCTACACTAGCCAGGTTTTCAGGATTCTAACTAGCCCCTGTAGACTATCAAGCAACCATTCTTTCCCTGATTACTGTATATTTAACTCTGATTATAATGGCAAAGTAGGGAAACTCCTCATATAATGTAGACTAATAGAATGAAAGAATTATTATATATATTTATAGTTTATCTGAAGACATGAAATGCTGAGACACAGTGAGTCGGTGGCTTAATGGTAAAATGGTAGCCAGCCACACGGGAGTTTCAAATCTAATTCCCAGCTGACTCAGTACTACAACTATACCTAATTTACTCTACGGTAGTGCGTCCAAGAAAGACGGAAGTTTAGGCGTGCAGCTAGCAATCCCTTCTCGTAGAAAAAACACCACCTTTACTAAAAGTTCAAATACCAGCTGACCCTTTTTTCCATTTAGAAAGCAAGGATTGAAAAAGAAGAAAAAAAGAGTAAACACCCTCAGGTTATGCAAAGCTTCAAACATTTTCCCCCTTTATGAATTTGAATAAAGCAAGAACAATAGTTTTTGCAGAATAAAACAGTACCACCGTTTATTTTGTTGCCGTCTCATCGGCTGCTTACAGCCCAAACACATTATTAAGTATATCAACAGAAACAATTTTAACATATTTGCACAGAGTTCATTTTTAAGCAAAAAATGAATCAATCGCTATATGCATACAATACTAATATTAGTAATGAGCACTTTATTCCAAACAGTAATAATCATACATAATGGAAATAGAGGATGAAAATATCCAGTTACGAGTGCGAGAAAAGACTGACTGATAACCGCTTCTTTCTAAACACATAAATCGGGTTTCAGGCACTTGATGGTGATTGCTTCGGCAAACCTATGGAGAACTGAACTCTTTTGCCTATTGATAATCCTGAACGATGTTGCGACGTCCACCTCATTACCCGTGTCAAGGATATGCCCGGTAATGGCACTTTTCAATGCATTTGTTCCCTTGAGACGCAAGGTTTTTGGTAAATGTTCAGAAAATCGTAGATGTGCCCTTCTTTCTGTCCTTCCAATGTAACTGCTTCCACAGATACACGTAAATTTGTACACACAGTTGAAGTTGACATGAGAAGGATATCTGTCGACTTTTGACTGCACCAAAGAGCATGTTGTTCGTTGGACGGGAACCAACTTAGCTGCAGGATAGAGTCTGTCTAGTAACATATTCAACCTTCTTTTGACAGTTGCTGTAGTATTTTCCCCTTTAAAATCAAGTTGAATGAAGACAGGCTTTTTTCCCAATGTGATTTGTTTAACACTTGAGCTCACTGGAGAACTGCTCTCATTGCAAAGTACCTGTATAGACTTACTGAGTTTGCTAAATAAAATTATTTCCGTTGTGATGTTTTACTCAAAAAATAAGTATTCAGTGAAGTAGGTTACAATTTCTATGCCATCATCATTTTACTCAGTAATATTCAGCGTAAATTAAAACAGGAATAATCGGATTATTTGTGAATAGAATCATAGTCGAAATAAGAATTTAACTACTGACATTTTCTATAGTTTGAGAACAAAGACCAAGCAAATGAGTACTTTTGGTGATTTCGCACCAGGCCTTACACTTGTGATTATAGTTATATGGCTGGAACCAGTCGATAAAAGCGTTAGACCTAGGGACTCGTAAGCAATGCCTACCTGCAATCCTGAATGAAGTAATGAACCTCCTGCGGTTCAAACCCGAGTAACCCAGTGCTTCAGTCGAAGGCGTTACCAATGAGCCAGCCACCTAGCGACGATTCACAGCGCAACCTGATGGCAAGCCATCTAACATGGTGCCTACATTACAAACTTGACTAATAGAATTCAATCTGCACCACCACCTAGGGCTAGATGTATAAAATTAGTTATTGCCTAGTGTTAATTAAAGTAGAGTGATTATAATTACGAAGATAATTAAATAATACGAGTGCTTATGTAATCTAAGGATTCCGTCACTTTGAATATTTAAGTAGATTGAGTTAAGGTGTGCAGTGGAAAAATAACTTCTGTGTCACAGCAGTTGCATAAAGGAGTATATAGTTTTATAAAAAATAGTGAAACGTTGACTAAAATGTATTGTGTGTAATGATAACAACAGAGATAATAGTACCTGGTGTCATCTGAAAAGAAAATTTTCCTAGTACTTATCTGTGTTGAACTTGAAGGCTTTGGAAAAGAAATAAACGAGGAATACTCTTTCTGAACTCATAGATTTGGTTAAAAAATTTTGACGGTGACTAATTAGGCTATGTGAGATGATTAAAAGAGTGCTAGTCTACAGAATCAAAACGACATCTTAAAGGAAATGTTAAAAACCGATTTTTTATCAGCATGATGTCCTGTACCCACGAGATGGGCCATTAATTAACTCTTGATAGATCTTGATGTTTCTTTATCGAATCACATTGTACAATATTGAAGAAAGCGATAACAAATTTACCCAGTCTTTCAATTTATTTAACTGTCTTTACGAGCGAAGGGAATTTCGAAATGTACACTCTTGTTGCACTTTTGCAGCAGACAATGAATTTTTTAAACAGTGTTACGTTAGAAAAAACTGTTTAGTGACTGTTTTTCTATGCTCCAACGCCTGTGGTTCGTCACCTATATCTTTCTTTTGCGACATTTGCTAGCACGTCTTTCCGAGTGTTCTCAGTATATAAGTTTATACAAATATTTTCTGACATCCGTGTTCCCTCAGTGAACTATCTGGCTTTCTTTTTTCACTACTCAAAGTGTGGTGAGAGCTGTCTGCAAGACGAAATTGTAGACAACAATTGACTTCAATGTTTGCGTCCCGAATGGGGGTTATGAAAAAAAAAGCAAGAACAAAGCCTAACCTTGAGGAACTCAACAACCAGTCACAGCAGACTTAACGTGGGCAGATACGATTAGTAGATATATCAACGCACTATCTGAAAAACGGCGATAAGGAGGTGATAGAATAACCTTCAGCAGGAAAACAACCAATCAGAAAACGTTACTTCTCTGTTAACAATAATGAATAATAATGTACACAAAAGTCTACATTCACATTGTTTTTATACAGGGTTAATAACCAGGTGCGTATTTAATGATTGATTAATATGAGTAATTCTATACTACTCAAATCAGCCAGTAGTAGTGCTTGCCTACCAGTAAAATCAAAGTGATCTAAGCACCGTTAGGCTGTATATATTTTCTAGCATATAGTTTTATGTATTTGCGACTATTTTCTCAATAAACATTTGTGGTTTAACGGGAGAAGGCAAGAGATTTGGTAACGGATCTTTATTTGCAATCTGACATACACATACGGGGAAGTTGTGATTAGAATACGTAGATCTTCGTAATTGTGCTATTTCTGCCCTTCGTTTTGTGTTTCTTTGCCTTCTTTGCGTGTCTGCTATGTTTCACTGCAATACTGATTGGTTCATTTGCTGTCTTTGATTTCAAATCTACCTCTGCGCTATTTGATGTTTTTGTACCTATGAATGTCTCTTTATATATTACTGATAAATCGTGTCAGTAGAAGACGCCAGAATAGTATCAAGCCGATCGCATGTTGTGGTCTGAATAATCTTGCTTTTCAAAGGAAAATTTCGGTGAAATAATCACTTTGAACTGTGTAAATTGTGAATTCAATTTAGGGATATATTGAATCTTTGTAAGAATAAAAAGGAACATTTCCAAAATTACTAAAACTCAGTAACCAATCAATAAATTATCAAACTGTTACAAAATAACGGTTTGAGAACCATTGGAAAACCTAGGAGTACTGGACAGTTGCTTCATCCTAGTTTGGGACTCATTCGTAACACTTACCCACTTCTTGGGTTTGAACGGAGAACCTACAGGTTACAAAGCAAGGTCACAGATCACCAAGTCACTGGGACCCAACCTAATGCTCCAGGAATTCCAACCGCTGCCAGTTCACTATATAGCGCGACCACTAACCAACGTTATCAGTGGCGAGTGTTCCTCCTCGCACTCGATCGGGTACACTGCCCTGGTCACGACTTCTCATTAGGATCCAGGTAACTACCTACCTTAACAGGGTCAGTCGTCAGTGAGCACCATATTGATATTCAAGTTTAGATTTACAGGCATTTGATTGATTAAGGGATTTCATCATGAGCTGACGATGGTTAAACAACCATCGGAAAACCTGGAAGTAGTGAACAGCTTTTAAGTCACTTGGACTGCCTCAACGGTCTACGAGCTCGCCTTGTAACCAGAAGGTCCTGAGTCTAAACACCGGGGGTGGTGCGTACTGCTGAAAAGTCTCAAACTAAGGCGAAACAGCTGTTGGATGTAGACTCAATGAACAAGGATTCAGTAATCAATCTCTCTCGCGCTCTACCCAGCTATATTACTTTTTAGAATTTTGACTCTGTCCCACCCACCCTATTGTGTGGCTGTGTGTTAATGCATGCAGTGCTATTGCTGGGCTTTTTTTGAAATTACTTATCTTCGTGGAGTCAGTCATTTTAATCTTAGCTAAATTCTTATGTTCCGACAATGTGACTACCCTCGACCTAGTATTTTGGCCTATGTAGTCGACATAACTCACAGTCATTGCAAGGTATTTTGTAAATTATATCATTTTGTTTAATTGGGTCCACCGGGTCTTTTAGCCTACAGAGCCTGTCTCTGAATGAGTTTGTGGGTTTGAATGCCACCCTAATTCCTGCTTTATTGAGAATCCTACGTAGGGTCTCAGATGTCCTCCTGCCTTAAATGGTAAAGCTGCAGATGACTTACATTCTTTCTTATTTATGGTGCCATTATTATTTGCATCCATTCTGTTCATTCATTCAAAATCACAAAATCACTAGTTAATACTTATAAAATTGATATTTTATTAGTTATCAAAATTTTTTTCACTGCGTAAAGTGACCTACTTCTATTAGTTAATCATACTGTGTTTTTTGTTTTCGAATTCTCTAGGCAGCAAAACAAGTTTCAGAGGGTAGAAATGGTGAATTAATGGCTAAAACATTTATTGGTAATGGTTTTATCGATGAAGTAGTAAAGCCTGAAGAATTAGTATTCAGTGAACACTCACCAGATTATTGTAATGTAGAACCTCAAAGAGGATCAGTCGGTACAAGAGATAGGTAAGTTGAATAAAACAAAAATAATGGCATGTTTTCAATGAAGTTTTTTACAGGCTGATTTAAAGTTCATATATGTGTAAAACTTGGGTACTGTTAGATTGGAACGTAAAGTTAAACACTAGTGTCTATAGGAAACCCACACACTCAAACAGATATTTGGACTTCCGATCATCCCATCCTATGTCAGTAAAAATAAGATTGGTGAAATGTTTAAATGACAAAGCACAAAAACTAAATAGTACCAAAGAAAATCTAAAACAGGAACTGATACACATAAAAGAAGCCTTGAAACTTAATAATTACCCGGATAAATTAGTCAAGAAATATGTAAGGAGATGTAAAAATAAAATAAATAATGATAGTAGCGATAGTGATAATAACAATAATAATGATAATGATAATAGTGATAATACTAATATTAATGACGACACCAACAATAAAGAATCTAAATCATCAGTAGTAATTCCATACAAGGAAAGAACCTCGGAAGTCTTACGCAGAATTCTTAACAAGGCAGGAATAAAAACGGTATTTAAACCCACAAACTCAATTGGAAACAAGCTTTATCGGTTAAAGGATCCTGTAGAGCCTTTAAAACAAAACAATTTAGTTTATCTAATACCCTGCAATGATTGTCAGGTCAAATACATAGGTCAAACTAGTAGAACAGGGGCAGTCAGACTAGCTGAATATAAAAACTTAGCAAAATCTAGACTAGTTAACCCAAATACGATGAGAAATCTAGAGAATAGTTCAGCTATAGCACTACATGCAGTTACACACAACCATACGACAGAATGGGATAAGATGACAGTTTTAAAATCTAATATCATAGGTTAGAGGGAGAGATTAATAACAGAAGCTTAGTTTATCGAATCAACTGCAAATACATGTAACAGGAATGATTCAACACCTGTCCCAGACGGACATCTGGAAAATTCTACTACCACGCCTACGACGACAGATGGGAGAGAACAAAATAAACTATAAAACTCAAGTTTCAAAGTTGTGTGATCACAATTGATATGATTATGAACAATAAATTTTGTTCGAAACGTCACCCAGTAAATAATACTGTTTTACTGCGTGATACATCTAATAAACAAACTAATATGGAATGATTTAATGTTCATTTATAAGTATTGCGTATGTTTTAAAAGTCTCCTCCGGAGGCTAAATATATACATACGTTGGTTTTGAACGTATCTTAATGACAAACGCCTTAATTCATTCAACCTGAATTCGTAATACCAATATGTGATAACAGACCGAGAGACTGCAGCAGATATGCTCACGCCATTATTGCAAAAGGTTTGGAAAGAAGGAAAGAAAAGTGCCTGCTGATTGGAAGAAAAGCTACCTAGTCTAGATGCTAAAGCAGAGTGACTTACACCTCTGCAAGAACTGACTGGAGTGGAAAAATGTTCTTTTACCCGCCAAGTAAAACACTAAGTCGCGTCATCCTGGGAAGAATAAAGGATGCGCTGGATGCGAAACTCCACCACACCAACCAGAACAAGCTGGATTCGGGAAAGACAAATAATGTGTCGATCAAGTTACATCTCCACGCATTGTCATCGAATAAAGCATAGAATGGTAGTCAAACCTCTACCTCAACAGCCTTATCAACTTCGGATATTCTTTCGACAGACAGCGTTGACCGTGAAGTAATTTGGAAATTATTATAACGCTATGGCGTGCAGTGCTCAAATCTTTATCAACCTCATTGAACATCTGACTATATGACAATGCCATCAGTCAGATGATCTAAAACGGAAAACTCAGCAAGGCGACTGAAGTGAATCCAGGAGTAAGACAACTCTGCCTGCCTATTGTCGCCGATGATAGTATTCTTAACTGTGCTGGACTGGATTATGCGTCAGACTGTAAACAGGGAGTGAGAAGGCAGGAATACGTTGGCCCGACAAGAAGACTCTAGGAGAACTGGATTTCTCAGATGATATATGTTTAATGTCACACAAACTCGAAGTCTTACAAGCGAAAACTGATAACAAACTGCAAAAGAAGCTGGCAGGCAGCGAAGACAGGACATATTTCAAGTGAACATAGAGAAGATGGATGTGATGAATGTAACCAAACAACCAACCAACAGCAACAGAAACCAGCACCGGTTATCATCAACGAAAGAAATTTGACAGACGTTACTTCCTTCACTTATCTAGGAAGCAAGGTTCCAACTAGAGGCGGAACGCATGAAGATGTCGAGGCCGGCCAGAATAGGAAAGGCAAGATACACCTCTATCATTCTGAAACCAATTTGGAAATCTTCTACACCTAGCATTTTCAGCATAAATGTGAAGTCACTCACTTTTGCTGTATTGGTGAGAAACATCCAAATCGTTTCACGAGAAGGATTTCCAACAGGTTGCAGACTTTCATCAACAGCTTCTCACTTCGCTGGCTCCACAATAAAGATGAAATAGCAGGAAAGAATAAGTAACAAGAAACTCTGGCTGACTTGGAACAAACCAACAGGCGAGAGCCGATTGCTCAACCAATGTGTGGGAGGAAATGGAGACGAATTGGGCATACGTTGGGCATACGAATGACATCGCGCTCAGTGCAGGCCATTGTTCGAGTGGAATCCGAATAGTAAGCGACGAGCGGGTTGTCATTGTGAGGGTGACATGGAAGATATCGCGTGGCGAGGAGGAGATGAGAGATTATGGACAATCGTGGAGTTACCCAGCTGAGGCGGACGGCAGAAAATAGAAGAAAGTGGAGATGTGTTGTTGAAGCCCTATGTTCCACTAGGGAATCCAAGGGAATAATAATATATAATGACAGATATTTTGAGGAAAAGCATGCAAAGAGGGGAATGAATTACACTCAACGGCTCTGTGAATGTTGAGCAGCAGAGAATTATTTCTGGAAAAAGCTATAGTGGTCATGGCACTTCAGATGGGGCATAAACCAAGAACGGTAATGATCACAGGACCTTGCATAACCTGTGATGTAAACATTTCTCACTTGATATGAAGTGCATGCACAAGTTAACTAGCATTTATTAAAAACAAAGTCTCACTAGCTTAGCTATAATCAACATGGTAATATCACTGTTTCATTGAAATGCTGCGTTTTAAGTAACCATCTTCAAGAAATGACATTATCATTTGAAAATCTCTGTTCAGTCACAACCTGTGAAAGTGTAACTTTGATGTGAAAATCACCATTCTAACAATGCCAATAGAATACAACATTTCTTTCATCAGTGCATTGAAGTTTCTCTGGTGATTTAACTAATATGCTAGGACGACCGTGCTAGCTCCACACACACACACAACATTCCTTCCTCTTCCACCTATAGGCATGATTAGTAAACTGGTTAACTAGTAGACTAAACAAAATTCCCCAAAAGCACTTCCATCTGCCTCCTTTGCTCGACAATGAAGACTAGGAGGACTGTCAAAAAGAGTAAGAAACCAGAAACTTCTACGACGACTCAATCAACACTGCATTCTCCAAGAGGTATGGAGAATGAAGTTGACAGAGCTTCAAGATACGCTGAACAGACTGTCAAATTGTATCACACACCAGACAGGTCCTTGAGTAAAGCCCAAATAGTAAACGACAGTTTTAGTCTCCGGCATGACGTGGGAGAGATCGTGTGAAAGGGAAATGAAGGCATACTGATATCGTCAGGGCCAACTGAAAGGGACTAGAGATAACTAAGTTTAAAGGAAATGCGCTGCTGAACCTCTACGTTCCACAAAGAATCCAAGTGATGAATGGCAACAGTCATAAATTCTCACTTCTGTGCATTCTACAGTTCTCGCAAGTATTTGGTTAATTATGTTTAGATTAGCCCCACTTTACACTGTTTGAATAATTGCAGAATTTGAGAATGAGTTTATCAAACCGGATATTTTTCTTTCATAAACTTTAGTATTTCATTACTAGAGATTTTTATTTTCAATAGTTGGTTTGTAAGGATTAGATTTGCATTTACGACTGGATCACGGATTGATATCAGTTAGAGAACCATTGAGAACCAACTGGGAGTACTGGACTGCTGCTTCTTCCTAGTATGGGACTCTTATTCAGCAGTACGCACCCACCACCAGGCTTCGAACCCAGGACCTTCCGGTTACAAGGCAAGCTCATATACCATTCAGCCACTGGGACCTGATTCGATTGCCAGCCCATGAATTCTAACTTCTACCAATTCGTGGTGTATTTAGCGCGACCACCAACCAATGTCATCGGCGGGAAATCCCTTCTCACATTTGACTAGATGGACTTCACTGGTCACAACTTCTAACTGGAACTCCAAGAAACTCCGTTCTATAACAAGAGTTTGTTTGTAGCCATCATGGATTGATATCGGTTAAAGATCCACTGAAAACCACGAAGTACTAGACGACTGTTTCCTTCCCCTCTCTTAAGCTCTTTCAGCAGAAAGCAGCCATGCATCCAAAAGGAATCGAACCAAGGACGTTCAGGTCACAAGATAACCTCATTAACCACTCACCTGCTGGAATGGAATCCAGTAGCCAATGAAATTTAACCTCTGCTAATTTGTGATGTATAGCGCAACTGCCAGACAGTGTCACCGGCAATAATTTGTTCTCACATCCTACCTAGTAGACCCTGATGTTACAACTTCTCGCAAGAACTCAAGGCATCTTTATTCTGTTGACAATCACTCGTGAGCATCACATTTAATTTTCCAGAGTTAATCAATGAGCTTAGGCTCCTAACACGGAAGTCTCGGTTTCGATAATGCTGAAAATTTTCGAATGAGAGAGACGAAATAGTTGTTCAGTGCTCCATGATTTTCCATTACCCTCTAACATATATGTTTATGCTGTTGTTTTTCTGACCTACATGGTTTGATTGTGAAACTTTCATTGTCCAAATAGACATCTTCACATTGAAGTTAAAGTTAACTCCAGAGATGTTGTGCAGGTGGACAGTGACGGCAAAATGTTTCATAATGGCTTTCTGTTAAAAACACTGGGAAGACACCAGGCGAAAATGAGTAAATGATCAGATACAATGTAGTGTTTCATGGTTAGAGAGTTACGGAATATTCACATTTGATCATTGGGAATAATAAAAAGACAGTTGCAGTGAGGAAAATTTTCTTTTCGACAAAGTCATAAACTAGGTTGTACATTCGTGTATTTATAGTATATTGGCGAGAAAGTTCCCGAACTATTTCCGGTCAAAGGACAAATTGATAAAATTACAAAGTCTAAAAAACACATAAATCGGATACAGAATATAGTAAGGTAGATAGGTTTAAGTTGATAAAATTCAGACCACTTAAAAGAGACTATTTTAATGTAAAACTGCTTTCTAAGGCTTCTTTGTTTATTTTTTGTCTTTTCCCATAGAATATGCACATTGAAAGATTCAGGAACATCAAACTGTGTGAACATGTGCTGTGGACGCGGTTACAGAAATGTTACTAAACGGGAAACTATTCAGTGTAATTGTCGGATGGCTAATGGATTCAAAGTTCAGTGTGATGAATGTAATGTTGAAACTGTAACTCAAAGGTGTTTGTGAATAAAAATTGATAGTTGACATTTATTAGTTAACACTAAATGAACTTGTTCCAAAACCAAGAAGACAATCAAATATACATATAACCATGTATGCTATGTATACAACCCATGTTTTCAGTTGTTTTTGTTGTTAAATTTATAAGCTACTTAAATAATTGTAAGTAATTCTTGATAAACAGTATAAATTTATCATATCACCCAGTCTCTAATGTACATATATATATTTATTATTGCTGAATTATGCATGCTGAGCTAAATACATTTCAGTTATTATTACTATTATTATTAAGAAAACAATATGTTGACATAAATCTTACTTTTTATAAATGTATGTCACCAGAAATAAATGCCTACACAATCATGAATTTTCGTATTTTCTGATCGCCATCAAGAAGGATGCACACATCATGGGTGATCATAACAGCTTGGTGACTAGATAAAGATTAGATGCTGTGGTTAAAACGACTTTTTATGCAGCTAGGGTCAGGATAACTGTGTATGTGAAGTCCGTATATCTGTCTAAGCCCTCAGAACATATTATGTTACATCCCATGCGATGGAAAATAATATGGGACATAAGAATTTAGCTAAGGTAAGAATGGTTGACCCCGAGAAGATAACTAATTTCACTGCATGCATTGACACACAATCACACAATAACATGGTGGGAGAGGGTTAAAATTCTAAAAAGTAATATAGATAGGTGGAGAGGAGAGAGAGGTTGATTACTGAATCATTGTTCATCGAGTCTACGCCAAACACGTACAATAGGAGTGACTCATCACTCATACTGGAAATATGGAAAATACTACTACCAATCAAGTCAAGTGATGAAAAATAATGGAATTATATAAACGAAGTTAGAAAGTTGTGTAAATGAGTACCTTGATATGATTATGAGCAGTAATAAATTGTGCTTGAAATGTGATCATCAGTTTACCTACGGCGGCCTGCTTGAACATAGGGCTACCAAAAATTCCACCTTACCACATTTTGCAAAATTGCTTTGGTTTGCTCTTTTAATTTTGTTTTAATTTATCAATAATGTGTTCTAATCGTATTATTTATAATCGCGCATTCTTAAAATCATTACAACCTACTGCGTTGTGTCATCCACAAAAATTGAGAAAAAAGCATCACTGTGGATGGCAGCGTGCACTGAAACGTACACAGATTAATCAAATGACTATTCCTGAACTCGTTAGCACTAACTGTAGATCCCTGTCCAACAAAATGGATTATCTTCAATCCCTAATGTATTCTAATGTTTATCGAAACGCTGGCGTTTTAGCAATACAAGAGACTTGGCTGCACCAGCATTATGATGATAATCTAGTTTCAATAAATGGATATAAAGTTTTTCGACAAGATAGAATAAGTTCTAAGAAAAAATGTGGAGGAGGGGTAGCCACTTTTATAAACACAAGTTGGTCTACATCAAATCACGTTTGCTTCAATTATTCTAGTGACAATATAGACTGCATAACCGTCAGGTGTCGCCCAAAACACTTAAGTAAATATTCTTACATATACATAACAAATATCTACATAACACCCAATTGTAGCCTTTCAAATATAGTTACGTTTGCAGATGAATTTACTGAATTCGCTGCTCCTGCATTCGGAAACTCGCTGTCTATAGTCTGTGGTGATTTTAATTCATGTGATCACAGCTTTCTTACTTCACTTGGTCATGAGAATCTAGTCAAGTTTAATACACGTCTGGACAAATCACTAGACCTGGTTTTCATAAATGACCGTGATGTATATGAAACCAGAAGGAGAGCTCCTTTGTTAAACTCTGACCACTGCATTATTCGTATTTTACCGAAAGTGTACGGCAAGTTACAACAACAAAAATTGTTTAGTCATTTAACAAAGAAGATACATGAACGTTCATATTCCCATGATAACATTCTAGCACTAAGAAGCATGTTGTATGATACCAACTGGGAACTATTTACTAACGATAAGTTGGATGCTACTGTCTCTAATATAACCGATTATCTGAAGTTTTGTTTGGATATTTGCTGTCCATATGAAACACTGTTTTCGAGATTTGACAGAATCTCTTCTTTGCAGCTGAAAAAACTTAGAAGACAAAAAGAGAAGTTGTATAAAAATTGTGATAATACCGGTGTCCGTAAAATAAACACCCTTATAAAAATTGAAATAGAAAGATTGAACAGACTATATAATGAAAAATTTTTATCATGTAAAAATCCTTCAAACATTTGGAAACTTTTCAATAAACTTACAAGTAAAAAACAAATGTCTGTTGATGCTTATTCTGATGTTAATGCTTTAAACAAATCATTTATCATGAAACAAATTAATATACCTGTACCTGATGTAACTAGTCAAGATAATGGTAATTTTCCGGGTTTTAAAGAAGAGGATGTACTATTATGTTTGAAATCTTTAAATCCAACACACAGCCTTGGTCCAGATGGTGTACCAGGCATTCTTCTTCAAAAGTGTGCAGATATCTTGTGTCATCCTCTTACTCAAATCTTTAATGCATCATTCAACAAGGAAACGGTACCTGCTGACTGGAAAGAAATCAAGGTTGTACCTGTACAGAAATCATCATCTGGAGCAGGTATAAAGTTTAGACCGGTTGCTATAACATCTCCTTTTTTGAAAACTATGGAGAAACTTCTTTTGAATACTCTTAAACCTTCTTTAAAAGCTTTTAGTGACCCTAAGCAGTTCGCTTATAAGTGTGGAAGAAGTACATTAGATGCAGCCATTGTACTACACCACAATATTGTTTCCTGCCTTGATAAGGGTGCTAAGTTCGTTCGAACAGCTTTTTTAGACTATACTGCAGCTTTCGACTCTGTTCCTAGGACACTTTTATTAGGAAAGATGATTTCAGCACAGACAGAGTCCTGGGCAACTAGATGGCTGTCTTCTTATTTTAAGGATAGGAAACAGCATACTGTTTTGGCTGGAAAGCGCTCCACTTCTCAGCTAACTGAAAGTGGTGTGCCTCAAGGAGCAGTACTTTCTCCATTTCTTTTCTCTTTCTTTTTGCATGACCTTCCGAACTCACCCAACGTTAACTTCATTAAGTATGCTGATGATCTGACCGTTTCTGTCCCTGTAGTTTCCACATTGGATTGTTCCCATATGAATGGCTTCTTAGCTGAAGTTAAGGATTGGTCTAGCTCAAATGGTCTTAAACTAAATCCAACTAAATGTAATTCTGTTGATTTCAGCTTGAGAAATGAAAAAGACATGCATGGATTGATCCAATCTCATGATTGTTGTAATATTGATGGTACCATGATAGAGAGTAAGTCAAGTGTTTCTTATCTTGGCATTAGTTTCTCTTCAAACCTTTGCTGGTCGTCTCATATTCTTATAGTTTCTACGAAAGTTTTCCGTCTGACTTATTACATAAAGAAGTTGAGGCACTCAGGTATAACCCAATCTCTTCTCATACAATTTATTAATTCATGTGTTTTGCCCATTATTCTTTATTGTTCCCCATTATTCTTCCCTGGGCTACTCAAAAAAGACCATATAATACTACGAAGAACATTGAGGGCTGTAAGTAGGGTCAGTGCTATCCCTTTGACTCAACTAACCGACACTGTTGTCAATAGGCACATGAATTCTTGTAAACACTTAGCTAAAGTTATTTTGTCTGATAGTGAACATCCTCTTTATTCACATTTGTTTCCTTGTATCTCTTCGGGTAAGACCAGAAGAAATTTCATAAACATTTATGCTCGTACTACAAAATATAAAAATTCGACCGTACCATATTTGGCACGAGTATTGTGTGAAGAGACGAATATCAGAAAAGAACTTTTACAACTTCTAAATCATTAACTCAACTAAAAAAAGTAATGATGTATATTATTGCATGTGTGATTTGTTATATTACTTATTTATTATTCACTATGACCTAGAAATGGTGTGATCTTGTTGGGGTTTTTATTTTTCCTATTAACTATTACTATTTTTAAAATTTTATACATTTATATAATTATAAAAAGAGCTAAACCATTGCAATATGTAAAATGATACGCTGAAAATTCCATGCTGTAAATTGTTATTGTTGTGGAATAAAGTGATTATTATTATTATTATTATTATATACTGTACTGTACTGTATAACAAACACTGTGAGATTTTATCAAAATAAATTTTACCTATAATGGAATTACATTCCACTGTATCTACCAATTTAAAAGTATGTGTGGTCACACATTCATAGAGAGGACTCATTGATCTTTGAAAAAAAGCGCTTCATCGAATACCCCTTCCCGTAATGGCTTCAGAAGCGAACCGGATCCGCCGAACCCATTAATAGTGAAAACAGACGACCTAGTTCTTCTATAGCGAAATATAGTATAAAGACAGGGGATAAATTTTGATTTAATGTCAGTAAAAAGTCTGAGAATCGTGGAATAGATCAAATAAAGTATAATTATATTTCAATGGTTTACACACAATGATAAGTTTTGTTATTGATAATATTTCGAGCAAAATTACTACCCGTGTTAACACCACTGTTGGAACAACAAAACTTATCGGTGTGTGTGAACCACTGAATAATAATTTTAGTTTACTTGATAAATTTGATGTTTACACATCTACTACACCTACCTATAACATATGTTCTGGGTGTATCGTGAAACCCTAGCAATCAGACAGTTTGAACCACCTTTATGCGTCCAAAAACAATCCGTAATCACATTATATTTTCCTCGGTAATCTTTATTTTGATACCAGGACAGATGTACCACTAATCTGCCTTTTTTGTTCCATTAATCCTTCATTGTTATTTTTGACCTTCAATGTAGTGTTTGCATTCGTTCTTTCAAAGTAAGACAATCACAGTGTCAGTAACATATACCAGGAGAGGTTTTCAGTAATAGTAATTTCTAACATTTATTCTCATTCGCATAAACTCTCAATAAATTATTTTTGATTTCAATCTAAGTTTATATCGTACCTAAAAATAAATGAACTTCAGTTGCATGAGATGCAGAAAATGGCTAATGATGTCACTACTAATGCTCGTCATGGCTATGAATAACAAGTTCTATATGAATGCAAATAAATCTTCACGTATTAAATGAAATTCAGTGACTGAAAAATAATAACTACTTTTATTTAAGCATTTTACGAACATGTAATTACATTTTTCCTTGCTAAGGCTCGTAGCGATAGTGAGTGGATGTGCGTTACTCGTAGACAGTGGAATTGGAGTATTCAGGTTAACATTTAATACAGAAGGCGGCGGAGGTTGACCTAAAAGTCAACTACCACAAGTACCCATTGAACTATTTCCATTTATTTGTACACCCAAAGGGTTCGGTACTGAAAGATTT